TTTTATAATAAATAAAACCCTAACCTTAAAGGAGAAGGAGAGAATGAAGAGAGAGGGGAAGGAGGCGGCGGGGGCGGAAGCGGTAGCTCCTGACGGACGGACGACGGCGGCAACTCCTGACGGATGGACGGCGGATCGGCGGAGGAGTGGAGAGAAGGAGAGGAGAGGATTTGAGAATGAGAAATGGGGGAGAATGGGGGAAAATCGCGTCTGTATGTATCAGATATTTAATGAAAAGCGACGGACAGCGTCTCGAAGTCCGTCGCTTTTCATTAAATAGTTGGCCAAATAATTTGACCAAAAAGCGACGGACATAGAGACGTTGTCCGTCGCTTATTTAAAATATTTGACCAAGAAGCGACGGACATAAAAATGATGTCCGTCACTTTCATAAAAAAATAATTATTAAAATAAAAAAATTCAAAAGCGACGGACGGCATCGCTATTTTTAAATTTATATATAATTTTTTTTAATTAAAAGCGGCAGATAACGTCTATATTTATATTAAATAAATAATTATTAATTTTATATATATTTGGCGCAAAAATCCGCGGAAAAAAGTGACGGACAAGAGATGCAGTCCGTCGCTTTTTGTAAAATAATTTTTAAAATAATTATTTTATTAAAAAGCGATGGACAGTGTGACAAATGGCGTCGCTTTTTGGAGCGACGTCGTCCGTCGCTTTTCTGTCCATCGTTTTTTAGCTCTTTTTAGTAGTGGTAAAATAATTGAAAACCTAACTTTGAAAAAAATAATTAAAGACCTATTAGGATTAATAGTCAAGTTCATTCATTTTGAACATAAAAGGAAAGTGTTACTTAAAAATGCAACGAGAAGTTAAAGAGAGAGCTCGTGGATCGAATGTAGAAAAAATTTTCTATTAATTATAAGCATTCAAAAACTTAAGTATTTATTTACAAGTTTTAAAGATCAAAGCAAAGATTTAAGATCAAGTTTAAAAGTTTTGAAATAAAATACAAGTTAAGATTATCACCAAATTAATTCAATATCCAACTTTAAGCCCTTGAAATTAACTGATTCATAGGTATTGGAATATAATTTCATCCACTATATTTAAAATCAAATATCACAATTATTGCAATATTTCTCTATCTTGATTATTATCCATAAAGTTTTTATTGTACGTGTACAATAGCATACAAGCATATTCCAATTATTGATTTCTTTATAAAAAAAAATAATTAAAAAAAAAGAGTGCTCCATGTTCCCGTTCAATTTTCCACTTTGGGTGAAGTCCCATTTGTATTCTATTATTATTATTATTATTATTATACTTTTGCCAAGTCTATCTAAAAAGGACGGTTTTGGCCTTCTAGGACAAGATGGTCCCAAATGTTTTGGATAGAAGTGTCAAAATAGGGTTCGGAGGCAAAAAAAAAAATTCAAAATTTCAAAAGGGCATATCAATTATTTTTTAAATCAAAAAGACAAAATCGTTCGTGATGAAGCGATTTTGCTCTGACACAAACTCCGTTAAAAATAAAAATCGTTGTCCTAGCAGCGATTTTGTCCAAAACTTTTTTTCTTTTTTTTTATTTATTAAAATCGCTGCTAATTTTTTTTTTTCTTACATCGCTGCAGGGGCAACGTTTTTCTCGATTAATAAAACAAAAATTGAAGGCAGCGATTTTCCCTTAAATATTTTTGTTAAATAACTCGATTGTAATGAAGAAAGAGGGAAAATGTATTATACGTATCAATTCTTAATTGGTTCATGTATATATACAATAAAAATGGGCTATTATTTTCATGCCTATTTTTAATTATTAATAATATTATTGTTCAAGACAGAGATATTTTATCACTAAGTATGTGTGTACGTGTGTATTACTTTAAAGGGCATTAAGAACTTCATACCCACAAATAGTAATTGACCGTGTATGTAAATTTATTTGGATTATATCTTAAAGCACACATTGTAAATGGAAATCCTCGTCATTAATTAAATTATAGAAAAATAAAATATAAAAATGATAAACAACATGGACAGTATACTCAATACAATTGTTGACGCATGAGGAAAATTGAATCATATATCATAAATAATAATTAAAAAATAATTGAATTAAAAAAAAAAACTTCTAAAAGGG